TTTTTTTTTTTTGAGAGACTTTTGCTATAGGGAGTGTGTGCTCACAGGAGAAATATAGAAAGGCAGAGACAGAAAGTGAGAAGAAATTAGAGCCCGCAGGTGGAGTGGTGGTTAAGGGTGCTAGACACTCACATGGCTCACCACGGTTTGAGTCCTAGACCTGCAGCTTGCTTTCTCGCCTTTTCTCTGTCCCCTCTCTCTCATATTCTGTCCCTCTCTGATCAAGTTAAAATAAACAAATAAATAAAGTTCAATCAAATATTCTTAAAAAAAAAAAAAAAGGAAATGAGAAATCACCCCCCAGAGGAGATGAATCCTTCCTCCACCATTCTCCTCTTGGGATTTTAGGCAAACATGCACATATGCCTGGTGTGAGCTTTAAGCCGTTTGGTCTAGGACTTGAACTGGTCAACTATGTGGGAGTCCAGCAACATAACCATTGCATCATTTTCTGGTCCCATCCCATCGCGATCTTCAAGACTCAAACAGCAGAGTTGGCCATGTGGGATCCAACACCTTAACCATGCCACCTGCTGGCCCAACACACATGAATCTTAAATGCATCAGGCTGGCTGTGAGAAGAAAACTAAAGGAATGCGTACTATATGATTCCATTCACATAACGTCCTTGCAAAGACAAAATACAGAAAAAGAATACAGGAGAGTGGTTGCCAGCAACTGGGAAGTGGGTGGCTGGCCACACTCAGAAATTCTTTTTTTTTTTTAATTATTTAATTTTCTTTATTCACTCATTCATTTTCAGTTGACCAGAGAGACACAAAGAGAGGGAACTTGAGAAGCAAGCCATGAGGTCCAAGACTTGAACCGTGGTTGGCCATGTGGGAGTGTCCAGTACCTTAATCACCACACCACCTGCTGTTCCCCCAACACTCAGAAATTCTGAGACTGAGGACCAGCAGTAGGAGTAATGGCTATGTCCCTGGACTTCCACATAGTTGACCGCGGTTTGAGTCCCCGACCGGGTGGCTTAAACTCACGCCGGGCGCTTGTGTGTGCATGCCCACCCAAGATCCCGAGAGGAGAGGGGAGGAGAAGGGATTGTGGCCTGGCCATCCCCCCAGAGGATGATTTCTCGCTCTCTCTCTTGTCTTTCTGGAGAGTGCATGTGCCCTATAGCAAAATCCACTCAAAAAAAAAAAAAAAAAGAAAAAGAAATTCTGATGCTGTGATTGTGGTGACAAGCTATACCTATGAATGCTTGTCAAAACTCACAAAACTTGCAAATGCAAAGAGTGAATTTTACTGTATATAAATTCAAACTTCATAAGCAGCAGCTACCAACAAATAGGGGGAGAATTACTAAATGACAAAGAATATCCCTAATATGCGAACAATAGTTTACAGAGCATTAAGATGAAAGGCAAAAAAAAATGCAAAGGTAAATAAAGAAATTAAGGAGGGACCAGCAGTTAGCGTAATGGCTATGTCGCTGGACTCCCATGTAGTAAACCACGGTTTGAGTCCTGGATCCGGGGACTTAAACTCCCACCAGGCACGTGTGCATGTGCCCAAGATCCCAAGAGGAGAATAAAGGAGAAGGGACTGCACCGTGGCCACCCCCCTGGGTGGGTGATTTCTCGCTTTCTGTCTGTCTCTTTCTGGCAAGCACACACATCCTATAGCAAAAACCTCTCAAAAAAAAAAAAAAAAAAAAAGAAAGAAAGAAAAGAAAAGAAATTAAGGAAAGGCACCACCAGGGGCCAGAAGGTGGCAAGCTGGTTAAGGCACTGGACTTCCACGTGGTGGAGCAGTTCAAGTCATAGCCCCGGTGGCTTGAAAATTACTCCAGGTGCATGTGCATGCATGCCCAAAATCCAGAGAGGCGAATGGAGGGGATGGGACTGTGGCTTGGCCATCCCTACTAGAGAGTGATTTCTCACTGGTGAGCGTACTCACCCTATAGCAAAAATCTTGAGAGAAAGAAAAAAAAGAAAAAAGAAATTAAAGAAAAATAGTCACCCTCACCAGTAGTGAGGGGTCTAGAGAAAGTGAAGAGAAAGATGTTGACGAATGGAAACAAAATTGCACATAGACATAAGGAACACTGTCTAGTGTCTAATGGGGGAAGAGGAGATGTGGCTAAGGACTATCTATAATGTTTCAGATGTTGAAATGGTGGGTACACTGACTACCTTAATGTAATCATTACCAGGTTACATTCATGTACTGGAAAATCACATTGTAACAGTTGCTGTGTTCATTAAAAAATTAGGTAAAGAGGAACCGGCAGTTAGCGTAATGGCTATGTCGCTGGACTCCCACATAGTCAACCGTGGTTCGCGTCCCGGACCCAGTGGCTTAAAACTCACGCCGGGCATTGTGTGTGTGTGCCTGAGATCCTGAGAAGAGCATAGAGGAGAAGGGATTGCAGCGTGGCCATCCCCCCTGGGGGGTGATTTCTCGCTTTCTGTTTCTCTGTCTCTGTCTGGCGAGCGCACGTACCCTATTACAAAAACCTCTCAAAAAAAAAAAAAAATTAGGTGAAGAAAAAAACAAAAACTGTCTTTTAGCATAGTAGGATTTTTAGAAACTAAGACCTGCCCGACTCTGCCCTCCACTGAAAGCCCTCTTCATAGTTACTGCTGCCACTGCCTTTCTGTGTGGAAGGAGGGGTTTTTATTTCAATCACATTTAAAGGTAGAAAACACACTAGTCCAGAGCCACTACCAGGTTTACTGGTCCGGTAAGCAACAGAGGCTGCGCCCTATATCCTAGAGTATGTAGTAGGCTGCCTACCCATGTGTGCAAAAGAACACTAATGTTTTCACAGTGAAGAATTCCCCAAAGGACATACTTCTCAGAAACCTATCCCAACTGTTCAGCAATCCATGACTGCTCTTAAGATACAGAGGAGTTGTCAGAAGTAGGCTTCTCAGGGTCAGCCAGTGGCAACGTGGTGATTATGGCAGCTGGATCCACCGGGGCTACCTGCATGGGTACCGTCATAAACCTAGTGGCTTGAAAAACATGCCAGGCATATGTATGCACATGCCCGAAATCCCAAGAGGAGGGAGAAATAGAGAATGGATTAGTGTGTGACCATTCTCCCATGGAGGGGATTCTTACTTTCTCTCTCTCCCTCACTCTGGAAGTTTAAGCACCCTCTGATAAATTAAAAAACCAAACAAACAACAAACACTCCCCCATGTGGGATGATTTTACCACAAACAAACCCTTTTCCTCCATTTCTCCCTCCTTTGTGAGATTTTGGGCGCTCACACACCCCCAGCAAGTTTCTCAAGGGGCCAGGTCCAGGACTCAAACAATGCAGAGGTCATCTGGGATCCAGCTGCCTTAACCATCATACCAGAGGCTGGCCCTTATTTTTCATTTTCTTTTTCTACTATTTGAATTTAGTATCATCTAGGTGCCTTACTATTTTTTTTGGGGGGGGAGGAGAGGTTTTTGCTATAGGGCGCATGTACTCGCCAGACAGAGACAGAGGGACAGAAAGTGAGAAATCACCCCACAAGGGGGATGGCCATGCCGCAATCCCTTCTTTGTTCTCCTCTCGGGTCTTGGGCACGTACGCACACGTGCCTGGCGTGAGTTTTAAGCCACCAGGTCCAGGACGCGAACCGTGGTCGACTACGTGGGAGTCCAGCGACAACTGCTGGTCCCCTAGGTGCTTTCCTATTAGGGAATCAAAAGATATTCTCTGGAGGCCAGCAGGTGGCATAGTGGCTAAGGAGCTGGTCTTCTATATGGCCAACCCAGATGAGTGGCTTGAAAATTCATATCAGACACATCTACATGTATGCCCAAAATCCCTTCTGGGATTGCCCAGAAACCCAGGAGAAGCGACTGCAGGTTGGCTATCCCTCCTGGGGGAAGGTGATTTCTCACTGTCCCTCTCACTCTCTCTGGCAAGCACATGTGTCCTATAACAAAAACAAAAACAAAGAAATAGAGGCAATGGGACCAGCAGTTAGCATAATGGCTATGTCGCTGGACTCCCATGTAGTCGACTGTGGTTTACATCCTAGACCCGGTGGCTTACAACTCACGCCAGGCGCGTGTGCGTGCGTGCCCGCCCAAGATCCTGAGAGGAGAATGGAGGAGAAGGGATTGCGGCGTGACCATCCCCCCCGGGGGGTGACTTCTCGCTTTCTGTCTCTCTCTCTCTGTCTGTCTGGCGAGCGCACACGCCCTATAGCAAAAAAACAACTCTCCGAGAAAAAAAGAAAGAAATAGAGGCAAAAACAATAAATAACCCTCTACCAGGGCATGATGGAAAAACTAGAGCTGGCAACGAGTTACCTCTAGCCAATAATAAGAAGGAACATCTTAAAGAATCACTATTTAAAAAAAAAAAATCATTATTTTATTATATTTACTAAGTAGGTCACAATAAGGAAAAACAGCATACAGGACAACTGTTGTTACCTATTATGTACCAAGCATTGTCATTTGTGATATTTTTTCCAAGATTTTATTTTAAAGAACAAATCACTAGCGATAAGAGTTTAAAAATACATAGTTTGTTCTGGAATGTGAGCTGGAGAGTGTTAACTTGTATATTGGTTTCATTTTCAAAATGGCAAATGTAATAGTATGTAATTTTATTAATATATAATGTTCTAGAAAAGGCAAAATTACACAGAAAAACAGATCAGAGTATCAGGAAAAAGGCTAATGAGGAACTTGGAGCTGATTGGAATATTCTATACCTTGACTATGGTAGTGGACTTACATGACTGCACTTTGGTCTTGACTAGAACTACATGTGAACTATATAGGACGTGATGTTTTCAAAAACTGCAAATGTGCTTTCCGTTTTCAAAGACCAGAAACAGGAACAAGTACAAACGTTTTCAAAGACCAGAAAGAGGAACAAGTACGAAAGCTGCTGATGAGGACCAAAGGCTAAAGACTCCTACAGTTCAATTTTCAGTTGTTTTTTGTTTTTTGTTTTTTTTTTTAATTAGCCAGCGAGCGTGTATGAGAGAGAGAGCGAGAGAGAGAAAAGGCAGCTGCAAAGTGGGGTACGGCCACATGGCGATCCCTTACCCTCCATTTCTCCATCCTATCAGGATTTGAGGCATACACACACATGCACCAAGTGTGTTTTTCAAGCCAGTAGGGCCAGGATTCAAACCACACAGTGACATCTAGCTCCCTTAACTACTAGGCCACAGGGCTGGCTCCAAATTCCCAATTTTACACATTGACTTGTTGTTATCCCTCACCTGTGGGCAGGTTAGTTCCAGTTCTGCGTGTCCCTAGGAACACTAGTAAGGTAGAGCCACGAATAAGATGTTCAGTGAGATGGTGTCTTTTAACTGAATGCAAACCAACCAACCGACCCACCAACCTGGCGTCGGGCCCTGGGGCTGAGCAGCCTGGGCAGACCCTCACCTGGCCTTCTGCAGGCTGGGCACTCGGGCGGCCATCCTTGTCCTCGAGCTCCAGCAACAGGTACACGGGCGGCTTGCAGTCTTTGGACTCACTCAGGAAGCCTCCTGTGTCCACCTTCCTTTTGATGGTGGAGTTCCAGTGATTCTTCACAGCATTATCTGTCCTGCAGGGGAGAACAGAAGGCACTGGAGACCCTAAGCAAAAGGATGCCTGCTGGTCCTGCCCTCAGCTCCAGTTGATCTCAAAGGCCAGCCCCGTGCACCTCCCTTAGGCTGATCAAGGGCCAAAGAGAGCCATGGGCCAGATACTGTTCCCCTCTCTGAGCCTTGATTTCGTTTTATTTTTTGTTTTTTGTTTGTTTTGTTTTTTTTTAATAATCTAACTAGTTTCAATAGCAAGTTCAGCTGGTAATTTCCAGAAAGCAGTTTCAACATAAATCAAAGAAATCATAAGAAATGTTGCTTAAAACTTAAAGCCAGGAAACAGGTTAGGATTCTGTTTCAATGGTAGGTACATGAACCTACTGACATCTCATAACAGGATACAAATCCTTAAAACCAGACAACAAAGCCTACAAGAAAATCAGCAATGTTTTAGTCAAAAGTCATAAAATTCTATTTCACCCATTCAGTCTCATGTACTTAATCTTCTGTTGCGGTTTGATTTTTATGATTAAATTCTGGGATATAATATTCAACTCCAGACTTGTCCCTATGGTTATATAGGCCATTATCTTGGGTTTTTAACTCTTATTTCTGTGTGTCTGTATTTAAATTTCCTGATATACCACTCCCTTAAGAATTTCTTGCAGATCTGGTCTGGTGCTGTAGCCTTGATTTCTTTACCTGCAAAATCCAGACTCCTCTGCACACCACCTCATTGAATACTAGAGGACACACACATACACAGCACAGCGGAAAACAGAGGAAGGAGTGCTACAGCACCGTGAGCGTGCCCAGGGGAATGGCAGCACGTGGGAGCACAGCTGCAAGAAGCCCGAGCACTGGAGACCAGAGCAGGTGGAGGGAGGGCAGGACAACACAGAAGAGGGGGCAGCACGGTGCCACAGACACACGAGGCAGCGCCGCAACGCAGCACGTGCAGTACTAGAGCACGGTGGTGCTGGCACACAGTAGGCACTTCTTTCTTTAGAGCTCCAAGCCAAGTGTCTTCCACTTCAGGTGTGAACAGAGCGCCACAGCATGACTGAGCGGCCCTCTCAGAGGAGCTGAGATCTCTGATCGCTGCACAGCAGGCTGCCAGGACACCAGTGCTGGCCGACGGTGCTTCACTCTGACCCTCTAATCCCCGGCCTTGCAGCACACCCAGCCTCCAGCTGCCAGCCGGGCTACTGCCGGTGGTTTGTTTCTAACCCGATCTTGCTCTGGCCAATACCTCAGAAAACACATCTGAAGATAAGGCAGAGCCTTTTGCTCACTTAAATTTATGAAGCATCCATCGCATGTCTGTCCATCCTAGGCACTAGAAATAACACGGGCAAGTGAGACAGGAGTTGGCATTTGGAGTCTAAACCAGTGGGGTAGACAGGCACGACACCTAACTGTAACCGGGCACACACGCTCAGAAACAGGTCAGTCACTGGGGGACGGCACGGTCTGAAGAAACAGCACCCCCAGCTCCCCAGCCCACAGAGCAGCCCACCTGCCCGGCAGCATCTTGGCAATCTCGGCCCAGCGGTTGCCCAGCACCTTGTGGGCCTCGCAGATGATGCGGTCCTCCTCCTCGGTCCAGCAGGACTTCTTCACCTCGGGGTTGAGGTGGTTATGCCAGCGCTCACGGCACTGCTTCCCCAGTCGGCCCTTCAGGTGCTTGGCAATCAGCGTCCACTGCTTCGTGCCATACTTCTTGACCAGCTCGATGACCTTGAGGGACAGCCATGGTGAGGCAGTGGAACGGACCTCACCCAACTCCAGCACCTTAACTTCCACATGGGCCTCGCTGTGGTCCACGAGGTGCACCAACCCCACTTGCACAGACAATGTGGAAGCTGCTGTGGTGGTTCCTGGGAATGCTGTTCAAAGATACTTTGTGCAGTCCACAAGCACCAGCAGGAGGCCTTCACCACATCCCTGTCATTTACTGCCTGGAATACAGCAATGTCACTTGTTCTGAAGACTAGTCCTAGCAAAGGAGGAGCCAAGGCCCTGCCTCACTCTTCTACACCCAACCTAGCCCTGAGCCCTGGGATCTGGATCCCACATGGCCAACTTCGGTGTGAATCCTGGCCCTGGCGGCTTGAAAGACATACCGGGCATCTGTGCATATGCCCTGAACCCTGATAAGGTGGAGAACCGAGTGCAGTGTGACCACACTCCACTAGAGGGTGCTTTCTCTGTTTGTCTGGCTCTCAGAATGAAGAGGACCTGCCCAATGGCACAGATCACATAAACTGAGGGCTGAGACCAACCTTCCTAGTCCTGCCACAGCCCAGGATGCCATGGGCCCCTCCAGCACTGTTTTAGAAATCCAGAGATGATAGTCTGAGCCATACACAGCCACCCAAGCCGAGCCGGGTGCCTCCTGAACTCTGCACACATATCCTCAGTTGCATATAGGCCACAGCAAGCTGGGAAGAGGACACTTCCGAGCAAAGAGATTTTGGTGAGGAAATATTCTGCTTCATTTCTGTGGTGTATAGTTTGCACCTTTGCATTTTCACAGCAACCACGTATTAGTTTGACATTAAAAAAAAATAAGAATTGTGAAGCAATTTTAAAACACCTGTGCCTGGACTGTGCCTGCCATGGTGCAATGGCTCCTCCGGCTGACATCAGGGAGAAGCGCCAAAGGTGGGGAACTCCCAAGATGCCCAGAGAAAGCCAGGGGCTGCCTCTTCCTAGCCTAGGGGACCCCACCCCTCTGAGCCTTGTCTCCCCACCTGTAAATGCGCCTGATACCCCAACCCTGCCCATCTCACAGAACTGCGTCAGGAATCAAGGCAAGCAAGGCACACGTGATGTTCTGAGCAGCAGGGACCGTCCGTAGTGTGCTCATTCTCACAGGAGGTAATGCTGGCCACCATCAGCTGAGAGCACACCCCAGGCCGGGACCACGCAGTCCCTTCTGAGCAAGGAAGCTCAATGGTAGGTCCTATCACTCTCTCCCTCTATGGGTGGGGAAAGAGAACTGGGTAATTAGTCCTCTGCTGTGAGTGGGGAAGCCGGGAAACACCCCAGGCTCAGGACCCAGGCTAGTTCCCTGAGCTCTCCGTCCAGAGGAAGAGTGATGCTCACGAAAAACCACCATGCTGAGAGACAAGTGTGTACATGGTGGCCGCCTACTCAGGGAGGCCAAGGGATGACCAGGGTGTGATGTGCACCCAGCATCCAGCTTGACTCCCACCATGCAGGCGGCCTTGGTTCCCAGGGCCCCGGTGGTGCCAGTGGTTACCTTCTGGTCTTCCTCCTTGGTCCATGGCCCCTTGACCAGGTCTGGGTTCAAAACTCTCAGCCACCGGTACTGGCACTGCTGGTCAGTGCGGTTCTAGGAAGGCAACAGGAAGTACAGGAACCTGTAAGAAGCCCTGGGACCCGTGGCTGGGGCCAGGCCCACCTCAGGAGTGGTGTCCCATGCCATGTACCCAGCACACACACCCGAACATGGGTCTTTTTGCTACAATGAAGGCAACAGCAAGGTCCTATGGAAAGTTACCTCCCAGCAACCAAACCCATCACAGCCTTTAAACCACGGGGTGTCGGGGGTCCTTGTTTTCTTCGGGGAGAGCATTCTATCCTCTCAAGAGTTCAGATTCGTGGAGGGGAAGATGAGGAAATAGGGTGGACAAGTGACTCAGCCCCCAAGCCACCCGAGGGACCCAGGCAGTAAGTCAGATGGAAGTACTTACACCACAGCCCCCACCCCCAGATGCCTACCCAAGGGCCCCTCATCAACAGGAGGTTCTCAAGGCTCAGATGTGGAGACACCACCTGCTTTGCAAGGGCTTCCCCAGGATGGGCTCACTCTGAGAAACTCCTGACTTGCAAGAAAAATGTCAAGATGTCACTAATCACAAGCTGTGTGTCGGAAACCCCCACGACCACGGTCATGGAGAGGCAGCTGGGTGAGCATGCTTACAGCACGGA